CTTTCCACAAAACTAAAAAGCCAAACAATCTCCCTTTGTCTAACCTTCATTCCAGTTGAGCTCCCACGCCCCCAGTGAACATTAACACCAGAAGATTTTGCAAATCAGAGAAACCGTATCACACTGAGACCTTGAGATCTACCCAGGGTGGAGTGGGCCGAGTGCCCACTTGCTCCCACTGAGGTGCAACTCCTCTCACGAGTGATCTGAAAGGATCCTCTCAAGATGCCATGGAGTAATTTCCTCCAAATTCTCAAATATGAACATTTCTTAAAGAAGATAAGTACTTTTTCTTTTACAGACTGATCATAGAAAAGAAAGAGACTATCAGCCTTTGGTTAATAGGCACTTAGTGTGCCTTATTCCCTTAAATGGCACTTCCAAAAAGCAGGCAGGCTGGTAACTATTTCTGCACGTATTCCCAGAGCAGGCAGGCATCTAGACTCTTTGCTTCAAGGAACAGATACCACACAGGTTATGCAGCTACCACTAAAACACTAAATAACTGGCTTTCACATTTTCACATTTCTATTATCAGGCACAGTGCACACTGCTAAGTAAGAGCATCAACTGAGAGAAAAGTCCCCATGCTGTCTCTACAACATCCTGCCACATCACTGCTGCTAAATCCACACTAAGCATCCTTCCCTTAACTCCCATTTTTGAGTTCTGTAAATCGATTCTTTTCATGAAGGCTTTACATTATCTTGCCAGACCTTGGTGGACCTGTCTCCCGTGCCCTGCCCTAAAACCACAACAGCAAACACCACCAGCAGCATAAGCTCTGCAACAAGGTCATGGGGATGGGTAACCATGCACTTGCACAGATTGTTCTTTCCAAGCAAGAAACTCTGTTGTGCTTTCAGAGCAGCTGAATCTGTCCTGAAAGGAAAACCACTTTGTTCCAAGCTTAATTCGCTACTGCAGTATGTGATACTTGACTGTTTTCAGCAGGGAAGCATTTCAGACCCTGACAATCTCCAGTTCCTCCAGCATCCTAGAACAGTGGAGGGGCCAGGGTGATCCATTCAAGAAACACTCTTTTTCCCTGAAAATTCCAAAATCCACTTCTGGAAATAAGACCAAAAGTTAAAAGGAGGGGGAAAAAAAAAGGAGGAAACTATAGTGACAGAGGATGAAAAAAGGAAGATGAACACAAAGAATTGGAGACTCATTTATCTGAGGAATTGTCTGATTGACGAAACAGGACATCAACAAAATTAGAAGACAGTCATGGGGATGAAGGAACATGAGACGAGATTCCTCATTCTGAAGTAAGAAATTACATTTGTGTACTTAACGTGCTGAATCTTTCAACCTATAACACATGTTAAGGAACAGAGGCTTTCATGCAATAGGTAGGCTGCCTCATAGCTATCAAAACTCCGTTATCCCCAGCTATGCAGACATTCAGATAATGTCATCCGGTTTTTAAAAGCCCAGATGTCACCCATTTCTGGGGATTAAAAAATTCAAATTACTATTTTGGCCCATAAGGATGTGCGTGTGTGGATTTGTTGCATGAAGACATAGTACTTCAGCTCAACTGTGAGATCAACAGGATAGATTTTTTCATGTCAGTTAGTGGCAAACTAAGAAGGATTTACATGAAAAACTCAAATGGCTACAATAGAGCTGGTGTTTCTGCAGTAACAATAAAAAAGGAAATCAAGTTTCCAAATTACACCTCAGTGCAAAGGTACAATAAGGCAAGTACAGCCCTAACGCTGGACAAGTAAGTGGGAACAAACCCTATCCTGTTTTAATGAACTTAGTATCCTAGGGGTTCCAGTGCCTCAAAATGGAAATGTAGCTGAATTTACCTTGAAGATTAAAATTCCACGTTGTTTTGATCTAAATGTATTCCTCACACCACGGCTACTGCTGTTCTGATTGCCAAGTGGTTTTCTTCCTTTTTGTTTTATTAAGTAGAACAAAGGGGAAAGTGACGACATAATTTTCCATTTCATTAAAACTGTGGAAGCAAATGATGTAACGAGGAATGTCAAAGCTAAAAGTTATAAATACATATCCTTAGATTCATTTTGTTCTTGGGCTACAATATTTAAGACCCTATTGTGTATGACTCAGGCACTGATGTCAGAACCTGGCATATTTAGGCATTTGTTAGTATAGTTCATAACTAATATTATTTAAATTTATTTTTCATCTCTGAATTACAAATCCATTGAAGGCACAGAACAATTATCAGTGAGTATTTCTAAGATTAAACTTCCTTATTATCTAACAGTACCTATAACAACAAAAGAAAATAAAATGGTTATTATCTTAAGGACCTAAACAATTCAAAAAACAAATTAAGCTTAGAGTGAAATAAGAACTGGGTTAGAAATCCTCTTCTGAACAGTTAGTCTGCGAATGTAATTACTGAAGAAACTACAGCTAATCAGCTGTGAATTGTATCCATTAATTAGTATTTGCCCTGGAGAAATGAGAAAAATCAGTAACAATGTTAACACTGCAATGCACTGATGAGTACTGAAACACAGGGCCCTCAGCATTTAGTCAAGCAGGTGGCTCCAATGGTCCAAGTAATTTAAAAAGCTCACACCTGAAGTGCAGAGCTGGAATTACAAAGCACTTCTTGCATATCTTTGTATCTATATAAGGCTATAATTAATGGCTTTTAATTTAGAAACACTGTGATCAGCTGGGAACAGTTATAAATCATTCTAAATAGAACAAGGGTTTCTTGTCTATTTTAGTAAAATAATTTGGGAAAGATGTTTTTTGTGAAATGACTTGTTGCAGTCAACATTCTTCTCCATTTATTTTCTAAAGGATCCCTTCATCAGACCCCTCATAAACATCTCAGTGCATTGCTATAGTTGACAGCAGGCATACAAATTACAGGCGAGATCCAGCAATTTGGTCTGCCCAGGTTACACTGGTGGGATTGAACTGTTGAGTTTCCCTGGGACAGAGAGAGAGAAAGATGCAGCACCCAGTCCAGCTATCTTTTTGTTTTGTGCTGGTGTTGGGATGCTTTGCAAATTACTTAGCCTTAGCAATTGGCAAGGTTTTGCATAAACTTCTGCATCTAAAGATTTCAGAGCATCCTTGTTCTGTAACTGCGAAAGAATAAAACCTGTTCAGCTTTCTTTGTCAACATGTACCATTGCTTTAAAAACTGCTATTTGCTTCCTTTCATTTCAGGTGTTCAACAAACTCCATCTTAAGTTTTCATAAATATATTAAGCATGAGCATCACAACTTATGGCCACAGCAAACCAATGGAAACCACATCCATATGCTGATTTAATGAAATGGACTGCAAACGAACAACACCTCTTCTGAACTTCTTGTGGATCACAGCTTTCATTCTTCATGCAAACCACTGCATTAAAACTAGGACAGTTCAGTCCCCTACTCTTATGTTGCATGGGCAGTTGAATCTTGGCCCTACTGAAATCTGTAAGAACCAACATGAAGACTGTAATGATAGACTGGATGTTTGCCTACTCATACCTTGTACAAAGAATGTCAAGAAAATTGGTTATTTCTAAAATAACTTGTTGAAGCTCTTCTCTTAGCTTTGACTACCAAGCCTGAAGCCCAACATCTAGCCTTATTCATCTTTTCTAGGAAGGCTGTACATTTGCAAGGCTAAGGGAAAATTCATGTCCTCTATTCCTTCCCCAATACATGCCCTAATGAAGACCAAATCAACTCCTGCCCAGGATTGGGGATATACAAACTATATCCCTCCCCACTTCTACAAACTACACATTTTCATAGACCAAACCTCCTAGGCCAGATGTTATACCTGTTAGCATATCATGAGATTAGCTACTTTGAATTAGCACGGCACAATGCTACTTGGGTTTCCAAGCTACCCTTTGCACTCACCAGAGCTTAAAATTTGGTTGATTACGAAAGCTGAGACTAATGAATGGTTGTTTTAAGAAAGAAGTCTGATATGACGAATGTCACAGAAAACCTTGGCAGTTTGAGATAAAAATCAGTGATACAATGTCCACAGAGTTTGAATTCCTATCAAAAAAAAAAAAAATCTTCAGAAAATCTCAAAAGGTTAAATAGTGGCTACTGTCTGGGCTCTTCTTTTGCAACTGTGACTAGTCAAAAGCCAAGGCAAGAAATAAAACAAGAAAAAACAGAAGTTTACACCACCAAACCGTATTATCAAAAAAAAGCATGAAAAATAAAGGAAATAACTAATTTTGAAGGTGTTATGGACACACATTGAGTAACATTTTGAACCTATAAAAGTTAACGGGAATTTTGCTACTGATTTTAATGGAGAAATTATTTACTTACAACATGCAGTCATTAGTATTTATTACAACTTCCTACATTTCTGTCTTTAAATAAGCTCAATTGCGGTGCAACTCTAATCTGAAAAACAGAACTCACACCCACTATTCATGTCTTAAAAAGTGCAAACACAGAAATACATAAGTAACATAAAACCAGACACAGAGGAACCCAGACTTTTATCTGAGCATCTAAATGGAACAAAAATGGATTTTTAAAATACTAGTATTTTTATGCTCCACAGTAAAATTAGATTCATCAGGCAAATACATTAGATTTTCTAAGTAATTCTTTTTGTAACATTACTGCTTAATGTAATAGTGCAACCATGAGGAAGAAGAAACCATTGGAACGGTTACTGTTCCAGCACTGAATACCACCAAAACCATGGAATGTGACTAAATACCCCAAAAGAAAAATTCAAGCAAAATATATCCAGAACAGGAATGAAACACCTTTTATCATCTCCTCGTAACTAATCTGGAGACTTACATTTTGCTTAAAAGGAACGATTGCAATTCTACACTCAAAGGCTATATATCATATATCTGAGAATAAAATAATGAGTTATTATAGAATCCACTCCCCCCCCCTTGTTTTTTTTACTAAAGAAAGCCCTATCCCAACCCTTACTGCAAAACAGAATTCAGATTTAGTTATCATGACACTAACAGTCCTTTCAAAACACACTTTTAAAGTTTCTTGGCATAGTATCTCCAGAAAAAATTCTCATTAGCTTGATGCTGAACTACTACCTGCAGAACTAGCTCCAAACTAGTTCTGTCACAGCACTACATATCCGCTTGAATATGTATTTTAGATAGTTACACATCCAAATTCTATCATTTCTGATGCCAATTTACTGCTTATGAAAAATGGCAGCCTCAACTGATCACACCTACAGTATTTCTGCAATAAAATGAGAAGCCATATGGCCATTAATAAAACAATTCTTTTATGGTGTGAGCATGCTTGTATTTTTTATGTAGAATAATATCTACTTGCACAAATATACATTATGGCAAGGATCTCATTTCTATCTTCATATTTGGTAAATTAATTCCTCTGAGGTTACACTATCCTGATGAGTAAAAAGAAAGATAACGATCCCAAAAGATGTAATTACAGACCAAAACTAAATTACTTTGCAGGTCTAAGTACTGTATCTTAATAATTTCACTGGAGAACATCTTCACTGCATTGGGGCAAATTTGATTTTGCTGCCTGACCAACAATTACAGCACTGGCAAATACAATGTCTGATAAGGACATCAATTAAGAATAAGCATTGTGTTATTTAAAAAAAAAAATTCATCATGTTCACAGCCTGTCTGATTGAATGAAATGCCAAATTAAATTAATGGAGATTGCTAAGTCTAGCTGGCTGGTGGGGAACCATGCAGAAAGTGGGACAGCATAGACAATAAACTGTCTGTAATTAAAAGATGAGAAGCTGGACTAATGCTACTTCAGCCTGATTACTCCAAACAAAACAATATACACTAAAATTATTCTGGCAACAGAAGTAGATGGAGTGGGAGGAGGGTTGGGAGAGGTGGTTTTTTTTTCTTAATAATATCAACTATCACCATCTATGAACAGCAGTGTCCTCACCAGATGTATTAAATTAAATATTGGGTTTTTTTCTCATCAGGAAACACAATTTATTTTCTAATGAATGTAAAAATAACAGATGAGAATTCTCCAATCATTTCTGTTCTATACAGATATCCAGCTAAACTTTGTAGAGGCTTTACTTTTAAGTATGATGTGTTCATAGCAGGAGCAAAGTGTTCTCTTCTGGAAGAGCAAGTCCTTCATGACAGTTTCAATACTTCAGAAGCAGTAGGTGGTATTCATATTATTTAATAAAATACAAATATTCTATTTTGGTTTTGCTACTAGAAATGATGAGGCAGATTTTAGTAGTTTGTTCACAGATGCAACATCACTAAAGTTGTTAGCAATTTATATCATTATAAGCAAATGAAGCCTCTTTTAAAACCTGAATTTCAAAACCTTGTAAATAAAGAAGTAATTTTATTTCACAATGAATGCAAAATGGTATCCTCAATTTTAATACTACATAGCTACTACCCACAGAAATTTCTGTACTTCTGTTACAGAATGCTAACATTTTGGAAGAAATGGCACGCACTGCAAGATGCAAGAAATATTATTTACCATAGACAACATGCAGCTATTGGAAACTAAGGATTGAGTCATTGAGCATAAAGGCGATGCAGAGTTGGACCAGATGCAGTCAAAAGGCTGCCCATTTGGGTCAGCCTTTGACCAAATGTCAGTAAGCAGATAACGTATCCCAGTTACATGAAAGATCAAACCGCTATACGCATATGTGCACCAGGGTACGGATATGTGCACAGAGACAACGCTTTTGTCAGCAAAAGACACAATTTCTTAAGAATTTCACAAAGTACTGGACCACTAGGTAACATGTATTATATATGCCAAGTTCATACTTGAGCCTTTCCATCCATATTCTTACAGCATATTTATGATTAGTGATTATTATAGGATAGTACAATAGAAATCAGCTTTCTGAGATAGATTACAGTATTATTCTTATTTTCAGTAGAAAATATCTTCTGGAAGTGGGTTCATACCCTGCTACATCCTGCCTGCAAATTTTCTAGGAAAGATCTTCATGTACAGGTGAAAAACTACCTGGGAAGTGTTAGCCTTGGTGATTTTGGCCACCGGAACTTACTACACAACAGTTATTTCTTTCTGTTTCTTCCACATCAGGATTTTCTAACACACCACATCAGGATCTTGCAATATCAGGAGGAAATGCAGTTGAAAACAAAAGGGGTCCCTATAGGGGATTTCACACCAGAAAGCTTAATTTTCTTAAGAACACATTACTGATGAGCAACTATCCAACAACAGACAGGAACACAAATTTGTTAAAATAAATGTATCTAAGTACTCAGTTTTGCAGTCACATCCCCAATGCTGAATTTTAGGCAAATGAATAATCTCATTAGTGGTTCATTAATTATTGAATCTGTACATAAGTATCTGTACGTCCATACATTTAACAGTCTTTTGATATTTAAAATCTTAAAAGCCTTTAATTCACGGGACCATTTAGATTCCAATTTTTTAAGTCTTAAACATCTGTCACACTATTTGTCATATATATGTTTATATATGTATGTCTATGCATGTATATATGTATACACACACATTCTCTACTCTGCTTAGAGCCAAAAAAAAAAATCTCTGTGGGATAAAATACTTCAGCAAGATCCTAAGGAAAAATAGACATTTATATTTTATTCATATATCCTCAAATCTCCATCAAGACACACTGTTTGCAGATAGTACAGATTTAAAAGTTTTAGGAAAGCAATTAGAATGAAAACATTCGAAGTTACTTTTAAAGCTTTCAGCCATCAAATAAAGAAGTTCAACAATAACAATAAAAAGCACTCACTTCATCTCTCTAATTCCAGCCAAACTCTTTAATATGAACTCCTTCAGTGAATTCCATGGCCAAAAGCAGTAACTGAATGATATTTTGCAAAGCATGATACTATGCGAGACTCGGGAACAGTAACAAAAGGAATATTTAATGGTCTCATGTTAGACATTTTCAGATCTCTTAAGAAGGATACAGTCTATAAAAGTTTTTATATGCAAGAAGTAACTTTGTATGAATATGCACAGTATTATAATTCTGTTGACTGACAGTCAAGGCAATTCAATATATGCCAGATTTTTAATGCTACTTATTCCATATTTAAATGCATAAATAGTAAAAGCTGGTCCAAAGTGCAGTCCTGGTCCTAAAATTTATACAAGATTAAGGTGTTATAAAATTAGTCTGAATCTTGAAAGTTCTTTCCATTACAAACATACCAAATATTTTGCCGTCACATGTTCAAAGAACTTCAGTTTATCATTTTGTCTCTTTGGAGACAAGAATGGATTTTCCATTCTGCCCACATTGACTTCAAAGGTAGTAACATGGAGAATCAAACACAAATTCTGGGTATATCTCTGCATCCGCCTACATATACTAAGACTACTTTTTCTCTGTACAAGGCTAATACAAATATCAAACTTGGACCAATCCACTAAGTTTCACATATAAAAGACTCCACAAGACCTATAGATGCTACTTCAAAGAGTTCTGAAGTACATTCACAATCATTCCACCTTGTTGTTGCCTGAAGCTTAAAATATGGGAAGAGACCAAATGTTAAGACAAACACATTCAGTAACAAAGCCAAGGAGAGGTCCCTGTGGTTTAAGAATTTGTCTAAAAATATATGAATATTTAAAGAACATGTTTTCTTTCTTTGCTTTCTAACCTAAAGATATTTGCAGTGATGAACTACAAAATTATTTTTCTGATCACTCTCATGAGCACGTATTTGTTGCTGGAATAAACGAGATCAGACATAAATGTCATGGAATGAGTATACTGCTGAAATGCGAGAAAAACGTACTTATATGGCTAGGTCTCGTGTTTATATATATTTTTCTACAACTTTGTAGCAACTTATATTCCAAATGAGAAAGGTCTTATCAAATATGCAGTTTCACAGCATCCATCCAATGTATGCATTTTATACACTTCCCTGAACAGCTCAAACTATACACAAGATCTTAGTTCTGATGACATCAGAGGACAGATGGTGGTTAAATTACGCTTTTTTCCACAGCTGCTCTAAAGAACTGAAGCAAGGGTGAAGCACAATTGCTCCCTTTCCACAGCCCTGTGAGAGGGTGGAAATGACTCTATTCTCCATGACATTTACCGAATGGAAGATCAACAGCTTCTCAGAATGGCCTCAACACATGGAACTGCAAAGTAACTTGCATAAAGACCCAAACCAAAACTGTGGACCTGATTCTGGGTCTGCCCATCCAATCCACCTTTCCACGCCCCTCCAGGCTACAATAGCAGCACTGACACCAGCACCTGGTGCCATGACTGGAGGCTGCTAGCTTGTGCCCTGCTCGGGAACAGCCAGTGAGGTCCTGAGAGAGCAGCACCATGCCCCCTCCTGCCCTAATACACCATGGTCAGTGTTAAGAGCCCTTCTTTAACTCCCCCTAAGCAGGGGTATAAGACAACTCTACACCTCTATTTGAGCATCCTTTCACCCCCAGCAATTTATTTTTAACTGCTGTAAGGGGTACTTTTACAGGTTTTTTTTTTTTTTCGGAGGGAAAAATGCACAAATACAGAACTGTTCTTGCCACATGAACATTTCTGTTTCACTTTCCTCTTCGAGGCATTAAGTTCATACAACCAAAGTGTTAATCATGTCTACCCCCTCATTTATTTTATATAAACTGTCTAAGCATTGAGTCTAAGCATTTCTTAACATAATGACAGCATTTTATTCTTAGAATCCCAAGAAATAGTTTTATATCACTATATTCAAGATTACTGTAACATTTTCTCACACGAATTCATAGTGATGTGATTATACTGCAGTTGGGCTGTAAGTAGCTTTTCTTAGAATCTTATATCAAATTTCACTCACTCCAGCAAAAATTGTAAATTCCATTCTAGACTGTGATTCAGCTCTACTACACTAGCAAATTATATCAAGTTTTAAATATAAAATTGATAGAGAAAGGATGAAGCAGATGTAGACATTTTATAATAATCATAATGGAGGACCAGTCAAGCCGCTCTCAGGCTAAAATCAGTACATGCATAAAATCTTAATTATCTCAGCTCTCAGTTGCGTTGATACCATGGGTTCCCGCCTTTTTTCTGAAATTAAATACTTTCCACTTTAGAAATATTAATCATAACCAAATAGAAAAATAGCTTTTTTTAAACATCTAAATTAATTCTACTTCATGATATGCAAGGCTGTATGAAGCAAGTCATCTATCGCAAAGACAGCCTGTAGGATGCAACTGCTCTTACTACACACATACCCAAACGAGAAACAGAGAAAAGCCACCCAGAAATATAGCAACTCCAGCACTAGACTAAGTGATGGATACCCTCAACCAAAGCTCTATGCTGCAGCATGCAATAAGCAATGCCCTTCTATGTGGGAAGAACAGGAAAGCATAGATAAGGCTCAAGGATATCATATGCTAACCTTGTAAGAACAGGGGTTGTACGAGAAAATGACTGACAGGCACAAGATTTGGGAATTTTTCTCAGGTGAAGATGCTTTCCAATTTGGAAAAATTATGTGTGTCAATACAATATAGTTTATAGATGCATTTTGGAAACAGACACATAACACATCACTTCCTCCTGTTTCTTTATCTTACATCAACCTTAAACCTGCAGGATTTCTCTACTGCTTTTAGCGGGGGCACTGGATTACAAATCCCACAGTAGGGAGGCCTCTGGAGAGTCTTCAGCAACAAGTAACTTTATTTAAACGTGCAAGATTGAATTGGATGCAATGCTCTGCAATAAAAGTAGAGGAGAATTAAACTGAAGAGTAGAATAATCCCTCATGCTAGTTTGTATTCCTAATTTACGCTGAAACTAATCAGGCTTAATTTATCTATCTTTAGCTTCCCACTGTTTCATTCCAACCTAAAGGCAACATTTTGGACAGCAGAAACTTTATTTTGCAGGTGAGTAACCTACTTTAATTGTATTTTCTTCCATTACTACAGTGTAGCATTTTCTTCACTTAATTGGGTCACTGTACTTCTTCTTATAAGTGGGCACAGAAATTACTTCTGATATCGATTGCAGCCCCTGAGGTTCTGCTGAGAGTTGAGGACACACAAAGGATACACAGAAAATTCCATTTATGACGAGTGAAATGAATAAAGTTTCACTCAAAACCTTCACTGCCAGTAATAAAACCCCCCACGAAAATCCTAATGTTAAAATATTGAAATCTCACATTAAGAAAATTAATGCCAGTTAAGAAAAAATCAGGTTTCTCTGTTTATAATCTTATTTCATATGCAACCTGACAAATAGCCTCACATATGCAGCACTGGAAATGCCTAGAACCATTTGACAGCAGGCCTCTCAAATCTTCAGGTGATCTTCAGCACTGAGTTTCAAAATACTAACTACTAATTAGTGCTAAAATTAAGTGCATATTAAAAAGCAACACCAGGTATCTCAGTAATGTAATTTCTCCTCATAATTTTCAGATGTCGTAGAAAAAAAACCAGCGTTTCTTTAATATAAGACTAAAAGTGGCAATAAAATTCTCTTGAACAGTCAAGTACTACCCTTCATGTCTTGATGTAGGCAAGCTTGAGCTTTGATACATGCAAATTCTTTAATTTCTTTTCTTGAACTACAAAAGACCCCAGATCCTAGGGGCATTTCTGCTGTCAAGCTGTTCCACAGCTCACAACTCACCCTCTGAAAATATTCTCCTAATTTAGTGGACTGAGACAATTCAGTGCCTTATGCTATTCACACCAAAGATGTTCAAGAAGTTGAATACTTTAGTTGAATCTAAAATAATCAAATTTAGCTTTAGTATGAATTCAAACTAGATGTATGAATTAGCTGCAATCTCTTAACGAACTTTCTTTGAATGTTCAGAAATTATGCAAGATATTCCTAGGAATACCTGTTAATTACAAGCCAGGTTAACAATTGGAGGTCAAAGGGGAAAAGTCATAAGCTCAGATTCATGTAGCACTCTTAAGTTTTCCTTACTAACTTATGGCATGATGGTGATCTGAGCTCTAAAGAAACATCTCTTTGGGTGTCTCTGAGACAGTATTTCTGATACAGAAACAATTCTGTTGGAACAAAACTAGTACTTTGTACCATAACCATGTGCTCCTGGTTATGGCAGGAGGCAGATGCCTCCTACAACTAGGAGCAAAATCCTGGGAGTTCTCTCATTTTTGTAATTTATAATTGCATCCCACCTTTAGAATAGAAAACAGGAATCTTTGCATACTACAAGTGAGGCTTGGACTCAGCACACTCAGAAAATCCTGTATATTTGGGGTTTTTTTTCCAGATACCGAGGGCTAAAGCCATCTCATTACTGTATTATGTTTTGAATCACAGGATACCTTTAGCTAAGTTTTATGACGCCGACAGATTATGTTTCTTTGACAGCAAAATTGCATAAGAGTTGAGAACTACTAATCCCATGTCCAGTTCTGGTAAGCAAGTGGAACAATGCAAAAACCATGCAAGGGAGCATGAAACATGAATATCGCTTTTTATGTTCTCAGGAAGAGCAAATCACAGGAAATCCACAAGGTTTGTTGCTTCATTGTCTGCAAAACTGGGAAGATTTTGTTCTACCATAACATTTCTCAGTCATTTTTTCTACCTGAATTGGGAGACACTGCACATTGTTAGTGTGAATGCAATGAAGAAGGCAGGAACAGAGAAATAGCATGTGACGTTCTGGAAGATCTCTTGCCACCAAAAGAGGAAAATACCATCCGAGGGTGGGGAAATAACAAATTGGTCACAGTAAAAACTAAATGGTATTATAAAGCATGACTTTCTCTTCATTCCTATAAGCATCTAGAATAATTTCTGATAATATTTTATTGTCCAGTGATTTTTAGACTT